AGCCAGTCTGACCACCTAGCAACAGATAGAGCTGGGTGTCATCCGCATATTGATGATACCCTAGCCCATGTCTCTGGGCAATCTGGGCAAGGGGGCACGTATAGATGTTAAATAACATCGGGGAGAGAACTGCCCCTTGGGGCACCCCACAAACTAGTGGGTGTCTTTGGGACAGCTCCTCCCTGAGCACCACCCTTTGTCCATGACCTTAGAGAAAGGAGACTAGCCATTGCAGGGCGAGCCCCCGAATCCCTACGTCGGCAAGGCGGTGGGCGAGCAACTGGTGATCGACCATGTTGAACGGCACCAACAGTAACAACAGGAACACCGCCATTCCGCCCCAATCCAGGTGCCTTCGGAGATCATCTGTGAGGGCGACCAGTGCTGTCTCAGTACCATGGCCCAGGCAGAAGCCGGACTGAAACGGGTCTAGCGTGGAAGTGTCATTCGAGTTGCCACCACTGCTGGGAACCTTCAGTGCCCGGTCTAACAACAGGAACACCGCCATTCCGCCCTGATCCAGGTGCCTTTGGAGATAATCTGTGAGGGCGACCAGTGCTGTCTCAGTACCATGGCCCAGGCAGAAGCCGGACTGAAACGGGTCTAGCGTGGAAGTGTCATTCGAGTTGCCACCACTGCTGGGAACCTTCAGTGCCCAGAGGGTGGTGCCCGGAGATTAATCCCGGTGCATGAAGCTGGATGAGAAGAGGCCATTGGCGGCTCTCAGAGGTGGCCAGCAGCCGGAGTGCATTGTGGGGCGGGCGGGGGAACCTCTTGCTTTCCTCCTGCAAAGTCAGGTTCCCCGCAGGAATTGGCTCTCCTTCCAGCTTGGTAGGCTCCAGCCAAAGCCCTCCCCTCCTTTTGCCTAGCCAATGAAAGCCATGGATCAACTGGCGCTGCCTGCAGGACTTGGGCAGGGTAAGGACCCCCAATGGATGCATGCAAAGAGAGACTCCCTTCCCCCCTCTCCCCACACACCACCTGGGATCCGGTGTCTCTAAATGGCCAGCTCCTGGCAGCCTAGAACTGCCTTCTGAATAGTAAATAGTGGGCTTGGGGCAGGCAATGCGACCCTGGGTGCATTCTTTGGTCAACTGCTGTAGTTGCAAGAAATTTAAGAGAGGTGCTGCATCAGTAGGAAAGTCTCTTTGGTCTGGGCTGAATGAAGCTTCTATCTCAGGAGTGGTGGTGGCCTCAGCAAGTCAGAGCAGCAGCTGGATAATATTTTCCAAACATCTTTTGCGTTCTCTTTTTCACTCTCCCCCCCACCTCCCTTCTTCTTCTTGGCTGTCGCTTTTCTGCCTCTTCCTCCAACTTAAGGGGTCTTTTAACAAATGAGACTTGGAGCTTGTTTTAATAGGGTGGGGAGGAGGGGAGAGGGAGGGAGGGAACTCCTGCAAAGGGGGGGGAGCGAGCGAAAGAGAGAGAGCTGCCCATTCAGGGTTGAAGACCAGTTCAAACTTAAGTGAATTCAATTAAGTTTAATTGCAAACATTTGCAAAGAAATGTGATACACACACACACACTGCCGCCACCTGATTTCCTCTTAATGTAAAAAAAAGGGGGGAAAGCAGGGCTTTGGAAAGCCTCCCCCCCCCCCGAAATTGTACATTTGGGTAGTAGCAAAGGATTTCACTTTCACTTTGCATAGAATCCCGAGTTCCTGTGCTCCTCTTGTTTTTAAGTAAGGGGGTGGTTTGCTTTGGGATGATTTCTTAATTTGTTGCAATCGCTTTGACACTGGTTAGCTTTCGTTGCTTTGCAAGATAATAAGGGACACTGTTGGAAGTGACTTCAGGTGTCGGAGAGGAGATACAGATTATTCATGGTTCCCCAGACTGGAAGGCTGACTTTGGAGAGGAAGAGGTTTAGGGAAAGGAGGGGGGGAAGCCCAAAAAACAAACATTTCAGTAGTTTATCCTTTATCCCTTTTTTGCATAAAAAGCCCCAGGTGACAAAGCTGGGCATTTCTGTTGGTGCAGCATGGATAAATGTGCACATTGATGCTAACATGTTCGTGTCCATCTAGCACCACTAACTGTGGTACTTGACTCAAAGTGCACAATTAGATGTGGATTTCAGGGCCCATGTTTATGCACATAATTTGACAGTCCAGATAGGTGCTAGATGGGGAACAAGTTGGTAGTTTATGGTACAGTTTATTGTATGTAGTCTGTACTGCGATTTTTTGAAATGGTAATCCAGCTGTTGTGCTTTACAGCATGTCAGACTTTAGTGTATTGTATTGTATTGTATTGTATTGTATTGTATTGTATTGTAGTGTCGTGTCGTGTCGTGTCGTGTCGTGTCATGTCGTGTAGTGTTTTTCATTCTTCCTAAAATGCATTTATGTTTGAAAATTGGTGGGTGCATGGGGGGGGGAGAAGGTAGCCTCGCCTAGTCTGCAAAAAAACCTGGCACTGGCCCTGGCAAAAAGAGAGAGGAAGAGATACATGGAAGAGGGAGAAAGAAAAGCAGTGGTAGAAGGGAGAAAGGCCCAATCTGCATCAACATTTGCTCCGCTGTTATACCAAACCCACACTGGAACAGAAATTCCCATCTACATTGCATGCCACTTTCACTTTGCCACATTTTATGGCAGTGTCCAGACTGCATGCCGCTTTCACTTTGTTTGATCTCTGGTTTTATGGTGGCTGTCTGCATAGATTTATGGCCGTTTTATGGCCATTTGGGGATGACTCTGCAGTCAGTACGGTGTTGGCCCGGGGTAGTTGAATGTGGTTTTGAACCACATCTTTTTCTCTTCCAGTGTGGGTTTGGTAAAATAACTGAGCAAATGCTAAATGCAGATTGGACCAAAGAGTGTGAGAAGTAGGGGGAGAGGGGAGGAAGCAAAGGTGGGGGGAATGGAATTGCCATCCCACAAGTTTCTTGTGGATCCCCACTTGTACATTCATACATGTCAAGATTCAAGAAGAAGAAGAAGAGATTGGATTTATACCCCACCCTTCACTACCCAAAGGTGTCTCAGAGCAGCTTACAAACTCCTTTCCCTTCCCCTCCCCACAACAGACACCCTGTGAGGTAGGTGGGGCTGAGCAGAGGTCATTTCGGGGGGGAACGCGGGGGAACGCAGTTCCCCCGGGTGAGGTGCAGGGGGCGGGGCACATGATGAAGCCCCGCCCCCTGCTTCCGGCTGCCCCGCTTCCAGCCCTCATTCAGCCAGGAGGAGGCAGGAGAAGAGGGAGGGTAAGTTGCTTCCTCCCCAACTCTCCCCACCCCTGCCTGCCTGGGGCCAGGGAGGGCCTTGGTGGGGCTTCCTCGCACTCCTGCTGGCCTTGCACGTCCACTGCCGGGCCCCTGATGTCAGGGTGTGTGGCATATGCTAATGAGTTATGCTAATGAGTTCCCCTAGCTTTTTTTCTACGAAATGACCCCTGGGGCTGAGAGAGCTCTTCACAGAAAGTGCTCTTTTTCAAGAACAGATGTACCAGAACTATGACTTGCCCAAGGTCATCCAGCAGGTGCAAGTGGAGGAGTGGGGAATCAAACCCGATTCTCCCAGATTAGAGTCCGTGCACTTAACCACTACACCAAACAAGCCAAAGTTAAGCAGTCTCTCATAGATTTCAATAAGAGATTGAGTACTCATAAAGTACAGTGCCTAATTTGGGTTGGATTCTTTTACTTTTACCTACCTTTCCATAATAACATGTACATAATGAGGATTATTTTGGCTATGTGGTATTGAAGTGATTTGTACATTTTCTGTTTTAAGTTTCAAATAGTGATCGCAATTTTTTACATTATTCACTAGGGCTGGCAGATAGCACACCAAAGGCTCCCCCCGCCATAGCTTTGAATTTGCCACCAAGTTGGGCCACCAGGTTGGGGAAGTGTCCCTTCTGTTATTTTGCTTATATCCCTTCTCCCTCTCTTTTCTTGTGGTAAAACAAGAGCACAATACTGCAAGGAAAACTGGACAGGAGAAGCCACTTCTTTCTTTTCTCTTGATTTAAAGAGACACAGGAACCTCCGCATCTGGCAACCCTATTAATCAGAGAAGTTGTTCCAGTGTCTTCAAAATGCTCTTCATTTTCTGCAGGACTATAGACTTACATAAATGAAATTACACTCGGTACAGCTTGAGATCTTACCATCTGAACCCTGACTGAACAGTCACAGAAACAAACAACAATCCCCCAGCCCTTATCTGAGCTAGTCACAGTCTTATTTTTATCTTAGTTTCCTACCTAAAATAACAATAGAATACACTAAGTGTTCCTCTGGGGAAATCCGAACACATTTCACCACTGTGAGCCCTGCCTATTTTACGAATTATCTCCAGGAGAAATAAATATGCTAGCCTTTATGGTGAATGAGATTTTGATTTAAAATTAGCAGACTACCTGAACAGCTAGATTCATCAAGGAAGAAATCAGTGCAGTCTACAATACCATTGCAGCGCTGGGAAACTGGAATACAGCTGTTAGTTGATGGACACAACAAAGACCCATTGAAGCAATCTTTAATGGCTGAATGAGAGAGAGAGAGAGAAGATGGTTAGTAAAAAGGTCCCTGTTACAAAATGTATATATGTATTTATTTAGAGAAAACATGCTCTCCAGGGGAACCTGCCCATGGCGGCTTACACAATAAATCATAATGACAATATAAAACAAAAGTTGTTAATTATAATTGAGCATTCAAAACCATGTCACCATTAGAGATGGGAACGGACCGGTCCATGGACCTAATTTCGTGATGAACTAGGGCCCGGTTCATTTAAATGCCTCCTGAGCCCACTTCTTACACTCATCATGGACCTCATGGACCATAAACTGGTTCATAAACCAGGAAAGTCTGTGCAAATTCGTGATTCATGGTTTGTGAAATTCATGAACCATGAACCTCCACAGACCTCCGTTTTTCCAGTCCATGCCCATCACTGGTTACCATACTGGAATAAGAAATACAGCTAGTTTATTGATCTGACATACTATCCCATATTCTAGGGTCAGTTTTGGATTCTGCTCACCTTCACAGACTATTTCAAAGTGCTGCATTTGATCTATGAAGTTCTACCACAACTAGGTTTTGAATATGTACATCACTCCTATGATCCAATGTGTTTTATAATTTTGAAAAATCTTGCCTGCATATTTGCTATATGGGCACAAAGTGGTTATTATGCAGGTGCATGAAAAAGCATTTCCAACCTGTTAAATGCTTCTTAGCTGAGATTCTTCCAATGGAAACCTACCAAATACCTTGTATATCTGCTATCCTAAGCTGAGTTACATCCTTAGGATGGCAGTGCTATCCAAAGCAAAGTACATCCTCTAGGTCAATTGAAGTCAATGGGTTTAGAAAGGTAGTAAGACTACTTAGAGTGGCACTGTCAATCTAAGACAGCCTTAACCAATAACTGGGGCAGCTGCCCAGGGTTGCACACTGGGGGGCGGGGGCTCCTGACCACCCACAGCTCCAACCCCTGATGAACGGACTCAGCTGGCTCAGTGACAGAAACCACTTGCTCCTGCCCCGTCTTCAGCTTCCAGAGGCAACAGTGACTTCTACCCACCATACATGGGATAAGGGCCTGCTGACAGGAGATGGGCACTGCAGAGGATGTGGCAGGGAGTGGTGATGGAGTGATTCAGGGGCCTCATTCTTGAATTTTGCTCAGGGCCCAAAATTACTAAGACCCTCCCTTGCTGTTAATCTCACCGCTAGATGACTTCTTAACTGTGTAAGCAGATTTCATTGAAGAGAGGTGATTTGAAGCTTGTGTTTGTGGCTGTTTTAGACAAGTAAGTTATTATTTGATATTTCACTCAAGTAACAAAATTAGGTAATTTGTGCATCCAGAATATTCTCAGGCTTTGTGAATATCTTGGTGATCAGGTAATGTGCGAAAGTTCCCTCAGGAACCTGGGTTGTCACTGGCTGTGCCATTATTCAGTCAACTTTTTGCAATGTTACAGAAACATGCCCCACTGTGGCCGTAGCTTATGGTAGAACAGTACATTTTGTCAATATGTCTTCATTGTTTGCAGAGATCACATCTTAAGTATGCTCATTAATCAGCACACCTATGGTATGTTGATTAGTAAAGCATCAAAGAGAGCTCACATTTCATATCAGAGCAGAGCATACCAGAGATGTCTTGTATTTCATATAGTATTACAGCCAAAGAACTGGATGAAAATTTGATGGTATGAAAATACAGTACAAAAAAACAAAGCTCAGTAATTATGTTTAAGTAATTTGATAGTCACAACAAATGAATATTTATCACTGCATCAGTAATTTATTCCAAAATGTTCTGTTCTGTGTTGTTCATGCCTGCAACCAGAAGAATATCAAGAGTACTTGCTTTTTCTAAACCTGCATACTATTACACTGTAGCATTTAGTTCTTCAGATCATCTAACCTAAAGGAACTCTTAGGGAATAATCTTGGGGAAAATTCATAAGCCTTCAACTACTTCATGATGGGATCACTGATCTATAGGATGTGACTCAAATGCCTGTACCTGATATTCCAAAAAGTAACAACATTCTGCCATTACCAGATCTTGATTGAACTAATGAAATGTTCTGTAGTGTTCCCGGTGGTTATTATTTACAACATTATTCTTTAAGAAACTATTAACAGAATATTTTCCCATTGATGTAAAACAAATTATCTAATGGAATAATTCCACATTTAAAATAATGTGTATGAGTTTGGGATTATGACAAAGGAAAAGAGATAGATGATCACATTCAGTTAAAATATCAGCGAGCCATTTGATAGATACTGCTAAATTGGTGGTGGAAAGTGCTGTCGTCATAGCTGAGTTGTGATGACCCTTTGGGATTTCCAAGGCAAGAGACATTCAGAAGTGGTTTGCCATTACCTGCCTCTGCATCATGACCCTGGTATTCCTTAGATGTTTCCCATTCAAATACTAGGCAGGGATGACCTTGCTTAGCTTCCAAGTTCTGACAAGATTGGGCTAGCCTGAACTATCCAGGTCAGGGCACTGCTAAATGAATAACAGTCAAATTCTAAGCATGGTTGCATCAGAAAACAATACAAATATTGAGGCATGCCCACTGCATGAGCAGTACAATGTCTTGATGGTAAATCTCTAACACAATGACATTGTAAGCAAATACTCTGGTGCCACTATTTGGCATCAGAATATGATGACAGAGAACTTTCAAGTGTGATTAATATCAATGGGAACATTAAGCGTATACCCCAACTGAAATAAGTGAGACTGAAACATGCCAAACTTTGGTTGGGTCAAGCCCTCCAAGATACTCTTTAATATCAACAGAATCACTGGCTTTGCTCCAGAGCTCATGGGAATACAATGTGCATCTCTGCGTGAAATATATGAAGTATGCTTATAGATTGTAGCTTCCATATATTATATTATTTATTTATTTATTTGAGATTTATATCCCACCCTTCCAAGCGGCTCAGGGTGGCTAACAAGCGGCTAATGCCAAATTAAATAGATAAAATACAATAAAACATATTACACACCCACAATAAAATTCATAACAATATTTAACGTGCTCTATTATCCTGTATATAAATCCCCAAGATGGACAGTAATCCCAAATCGATGGCCAGCTTTATTAAATAGCGAGGGCTCCAGCAGTGATGTTCTCCCCACTTCCGCCAGGTGACACATACCCCCCCATAATAGGAATAGATTATGGAACAGTACCACGGTGGTGGAATAGTGGCAGCGGCTACTACTCAAAAGCCTAGCAGAAGAGCTCCGTCTTGCAGGCCCTGCGGAACTGATAATGTCCCGCAGGGCCCGGCTTTTCTCCGGGAGCTCATTCCACCAGGTAGGAACCGCCACCGAAAACGCCCTGGCCCTGGCCAGGCCCTGGCCCTAGTCTAACAATCAATTGTAGTAACTATAGTGAAATTATTTCTTTATGTGTTGAGAAAATCAAGGCATCTAAATTCCACATTAAGTTTATTGAGTGACACTGAAAAGCACATTAGAGATTGGGGCTTCAATAGGTTTCATATTCATTATTATTAAAAAATATTTTCCCACCTAAAAGATGCATAATAGGTTTTGGCATTGGAATGAAAACAAAAAGGTATTAAAATTAATTGACAATAGTCCATTAACAAACTCAAAATGTGCATATAACATTATCCTTCCATTTGCAAAGTGTATTTTTTAAAAATATCAGCATTGAATTTACAGGAGAAAATTAGTGTATATGAACTTTGTAACTGAATAATGTTGAAATTATTCTGACCACGACTTGTGATTAGTCGTCATCCTATAATGTCACATCTCAGAGTTTCTAACAAATCCTCAACACAGAGTGCATTGAGGTAAATGAAATTGCTTGAGTGAACAGATAGTATAGAATTTAATAAATTAATCACTTGGACTTTGATTTGTACAAGTAATTCATGTTTGAGTAGGATTAGTTCAATTACCTCAATTTTATGACAACCAGTTGAGTTTTATTTAAAACTTTTGTTGGTTTGATTAATAGGAACTGATAATGTTCATTAGAGCCAAGGTCATACTTTTTAGAAGAATGTATCATTCAGTGGGGGAAATGGTGTGAAGCCATCTTAAGTTTAAAGGTGCATGGTATGAACCTTAAAGAAATTATTTCTTTATGTTTAGTTGTTGCCTACCAACAAAGAAGAAACTGGAACACATTTTCTGTCAGAAAAATAGTGGACTTTACATTTAGGATTACCTCTTATCCATCTGTGGGACCTCTCTGTAAAATTAGGAACTACTTTATCTAATAGTTACTAACATCTTTAAAACATACTATGCATAGGATCTGCACATGTATTATAAAAATTATATTCTGATTTCCAGTAAAAACTACCAAGGCAGGTTACCACACAACAATTTAGAATTACAATTTGATAATTAAACACAATAAAACTATAAACTACAAAACTATAGATAACTAGTCAAGCACCAATAACCATAGAATAATCCAGTAAAAATCAGGGCCCAATACTAAAAGACAGGATAAAATCTCGATAAAACTGGGTGGCCGCTGTTCAGACCAAATGCGTGATAGAATAGAGTACAAAAAGTAAGGGAACATGATGTATAGAACTGAAAAACAGAGAAATCACCAAGTCATACAGTACCAAAATTGATTTTTTGCAATAAATTGTTCCATTCAGAATAACCAATAATATGAAAGCTTTAAGAGCTCTCCAGCTGTCACCTTGACTTCCGGTTCCTGCTCATCGACAGAGGGAAGCGTTTGTTGCTCGCTCCTCTGTCCCAGGACTTTCTAAGACTATTCCATAGTCTCAAACCATTTCCAGCAGTGAAGGTTTGGCAGGGGGCTTTTCTGGATACTGGTCTAGTGGGGTGGCGACCCCCGGGCTGAGTGCCGGCTGCCCTGAAGCAAGAAAGTCTTTAAAACCTGGTGGGAGACTCGACAGGACCAGCTAGCCAGCCGCGCCGAGCAGAGAAGAGCAGTAGAGAAACTTCGGGGGAAGTCAGAAGAGTCAACAAGTACCACTAAAGAAAACCGAAGCTAAGTATAACAGCAACGGGGTTTAGAAGTTTAGAAGTGCTAAAGACCCCAGGTGTTGGGCCAGGGGGAAATAAAATTTACCTTAAAAATTATATGCACAAGATGGATAGTTAGCGGCTAGCTAAAGGAGGGTGCTACGTAGGGTGCTTTGATAAGGTGTGAGGAGGTAAAGATACTGGGCAGAACAGAAAAGCTGCAATAAACTGATTATCTGTATTTTTTCTTTCTATTGCTTACCCCTTTAAGACGATAACGAGGGGCCGAGGTGACGAGGCAAAAAACTGAGCTTCTGGAGAAAGCAGCGACACGCAGAGAAAGGCGGGGCTGCAAACGGTGTGCGACGGGGAGCCGGAGCGACGGAGAGTCGGGAAAGCGACTAGGAGAAAGGCGGGGCTCCAGACGGAGGAAGCTGAACAAGGCAGGCCGACTGGTGACTCAGCGAGCTACGAAGAGCCGAAGAGCCGAAGAGCCGGGAGACATCGGGGAGCTGGACTGAGCACACGCGAAGGAAAAGAGACCGGGGAATGAAATAAGGGACGCACTGGCCAAGCGAGTTCGGGTGAAAGGGCGGAGTGAAAAGGAACAGAGGGCAGCAAAGTAAAGTATAAGGGAAAAAGAGTGCGAGTTGGTATAGAAGATTTGTAGGAGAGGGAAAAAAAGTGAGGTGAGAGGTACAGGGTAGAAGGCAGATAACAAGAGTAGTTATCATAGTTGGGATTTAAAGGCACATAAAATAAATTATAAAATAAATAATAAAGTGAACACATAGATAAATAAAAAATAAAAAATAAAACAATAAGGAAATAATATATAAAAAATTAGGCTGAAGAGCTAAAAGATCAGGAAAAAAACAGACAAGTATATAAATAAATAAATTTATATAATATAAAAACATATTTCTACATTATAATTAAAGAAGTCTATAAATAAATAAATCAAACAGTGAAAAATTGTGCATCAGAGAAGAAGGTGAAAGTGAAAGGAAGAGTAGGAGGTAACTATTATCTAACTATATATTATATATTAAGAGTAATCAATTAATTAACTGATCTAAATAACTGGATTAATTTAATTAAAATAATAAAATAAAATAATAAAAATAAATTAGTTACTTACCAGTATTGTACGCAAATAAATTATATGCAAATAAATTAAAGAAATAAATAAAAAATAAGAAAAAGAAAAATAATATAGGCATAAAAATAACAAAGGAAATTAATTAAAATAAATTACAAACAGACGAATAGAACACAACAAATACAAATCATATACAATAAATAAAAACCAAAAAAGTGGATATTAATACTAAATATAATAAAAAGGGTTGAGATAGAGACAAAGCAGAGAAAAATATATGGCTGCAGGGGGCAGTGGGAGTAGGAAACCCTCGCTAACCTCCCCGGGACAACAAGGTGGAACAAGTCAACTTAAGTTAACGAATATGAGCAACACTCAGACCATGATGAAAGACCTAACAAAATTAATGCAAGAGAGTGTTGCCTCGGCGGTGACACAAGCAATGAAAACCGTTGAGAATGCACTACCCGTGCTAATTAAAAATGAACTAGACCCCATGTGCTCAAAGATGGACAACCTGGCGGCACAGATTAAAAGTGACACTGAGGAACTAAAAAAGCAGATAGTGGAAAATACGCTGAAAATAGCTGAAAATACGCTTGAGATAAAAAAAGGGGCAAACAATCAGGGAAAAGTCAAAGAGAGAGTACGAGACCTGGAATTAGATGTTCAAGAAATGAAAAGCAATAATGAGAGACTAGAGGAATCTTTGATACAACTGGAAATGGAAAAGGCAGATCTGATAATAAGGTGCCAAAACGTTCCTGAAAATATAGAAAAAAGTCTCAAAGAAGTTATGGTTAAAAATTTGGCAGAACAATTAGAGGTGGCCACGGTTGAAGAGCTGGAGACGGGAATAGGGGCAATTTATAGAAGAAACTCAGCATGGGCGAAAAAGAATAAGAAACCCAGGGAAGTCCACATAAAATTTGACAAAAAAGAATTAAAAGAAAGAATTCTTAGAGCAACATTTGACAACAAAGTCAATATTCAAGGGGAAGAATTGATCTTTTTGAAAGAAATACCATGGAGGGTACGGGAAAAAAGAATGCCTTACGTCACATTAACAAATTTGCTGAAAGAAAATAGAATAATGTTCCGCTGGCTAATACCAGAAGGTGTGTTGTTTACATATAATGGCCAAAGACAACGAATTGACTCTATATTTAAAGCAGAGAACTTCCTCGAAAACTTTAGTGATGATTTAGGTCTACATAGGGAAGAGGATGAAGAGGAGGAGGAAGGAGAAGAAGAAAAGGAAGAAGAGGAAGAAGAAGAAGAAGAAAGTGAAGAAGCCCGAGAAGAAAGCAGCCACCAAGAGACATATAAAAAGACAGGGGAAAAAACTAAAAGAAATAAACCCAAAACCAACAAACCTACCTACCAGATCCAGACCAGATTCAAACACAAAAGTAGAGGGAACAAACACTAAGTTCGGAAAATGGTATCTGGCAATAAAATTAATATTATCTCAATTAACATAAATGGATTAAATAGTGCTCACAAAAGAAGAAAAACATTCCACCAATTACAAAAAATTAAAGCTGACATAATATGTCTGCAAGAAACCCACATTAAAAAAAATGACATTAAATATTTAGAATGTAAAAAATTAGGCAAGGCATTTATAGCCTCAGCAGAGGGAAAAAAAAGAGGTGTGGTTATTTATGTAAAAGATGATCTGCAGCCAGAGTGGATTTGCGGGTCAGAAGATGGCAGAATAATAGCGATTACAATTGTTAGAAACGGGAGAAAAACTCTTTTAATAAATTTATATGCACCTAACCAAATCCAAAAAGGCTTTTACCAAAGGTTACAAACAATAGTGAACCAGAATGCAGTTGATAACATATGTATAGTAGGAGACTATAATGCGGTGTTAGATCCAGTTGTAGACAGGAAAACAGATAGGAGGAGCAAAGTAGGTGGTATACTACCTAAAAGTTTTATGCAAATTGCAGAGGAGCACAACTTAATAGATCTTTGGAGAACTAGAAATGGACAAAAAAAGGATTTTACATATTACTCTGCACGACACAATACATGGTCCAGGATTGATATGGTATGGGCATCTGCTGAGATAATAAGAGAGGTGTTAGAATGTGAAATATTACCAAAGACATATGCTGACCATAGTCCGGTGCTCCTGACACTAAAAGGTGAGTATAGGAAAAACAGAAGTTCAATAAATATAAAACTGCTCAGAGATGAAAAATTTGTCCAAAAATGTAAAAAGGAGATAGTAGAATTTTTTAAGATAAATAACAAATCAGATACACCTAAGGAAATTTTATGGGATGCTTTCAAAGCATTCATAAGAGGACGATTTATTAGCCAAAATATATGGAAAAATAAACAGAAAAAAAAAGAATATGACAATTTAATCCAACAAATTAAAATGCAAGAAACCAACTTGAAAAAAGCCAGAAGTGGATGTAATGCCAAAATTAAGCTAAATTTCCTCCATCATAAGTTGAATTTATTATTAAATTTTGAAATACAACAAAGAATTGAATATACAAAGCAATATTACTTTGAGAATATAAATAAACCCAATAGGTGGTTAGCGTATAAAGTAAGGAAAGAAAGGACAAAACGCATGATAGTCAAATTACGTAATGATAAAAATGAAGAACAGTTTAGCACACAGGAGTTGAAATTAATAACAGAGAACTATTATAGGAAATTATACGAATGTGAGCAACAAGACGAAGAATTAATCCAAAATTATTTGAAGGAAGATAAGAATGTATTTAATGAGCAACAGAGAGAGATCTTGAATGAACCTATAACAATGTTTGAGCTGTCAGAAGTAATTAAAAATCAGAAAAAAAATAAGGCACCGGGTCCAGATGGAATTCCAGCGGAGTTTTATAAAATTTTTGAGGAAGAAATAGGTTTAGTGTTAAAAGATATTCTCCAAAAAGAATAGGGATGTTGGAAAAAATTCCTGAGTCATGGAATCATGCCTTAATAACTCTAATTCCCAAACCTAATGCGGATTTAAGTGATGTCAAGAATTATAGGCCCATTTCATTGTTAAATGCCGACTACAAGATATTCTCGGGAATCCTGGCAAATAGATTGAAAAAGGTACTATCGCAGATAATACACCAAGACCAGACGGGCTTCCTCCCTAAAAGACAAATGAGGAATAACTTACGAACAATTATAGATGTCTTGGAATATTATGAGGAACGTCCTGATAAAGAGGTAGTACTGTTGTTCTTAGACGCTGAAAAGGCCTTTGATAACTTGTCATGGGAATTTTTACTCCAAAAATTAAAAAGATCTGGGTGCGGGACATACTTCCATAAAATGGTAAAATCTCTCTACTCGACACAATATGCTAAAGTAATAGTGAATGGAGATTTAACTAACAACATAAAAATTCAAAAGGGATCAAGACAGGGGTGCCCTATGTCGCCCCTGCTATTTATATTTGCTCTGGAATCCCTGACTGACAGGATAAGGAATAATAATTTGATTGAAGGCCTAAAAATAAAAGATGAAACATATAAATTACTAGCTTTCGCGGATGACCTAGTGTTTATTCTAGAAAATCCAAAAACATCAATAAAACACTTAATGGATACGATTGTAGACTACGGACAAGTGGCAGGACTCAAAATAAATTATAAAAAATCAAAGATAATATCCAAAAATTGTTTACCTAAAACGCTGCAAGAAATAAAAAAGGGAACAACTATGGAAATGGTTAGGAAAGTTAAGTATCTCGGAATAAACATTACAAATAAAATTAGTACACTAGAAGAGGACCTTCAATCTTTCCCAGCATCAGAGTCTTCTCCAGTGAGTGCTCCCTTCTCATTTGGTGGCCAAAGTATTTGAGCTTCAGCTTCAGTATCTGGCCTTCCAGGGAACAGTCAGGGTTGATTTCTTTCAGGATTGACTGATTTGATCTCCCTGCAGTCCAAGGGAGAAATTTTATAAAAAGATACCAAAATGGGTTTCACCCTTGGAGGCATTCATACAACCGGCCCTGTTAACGGCAAATAAAAAACTAACATACAAGACCTTACTGAACAGTGAAAATAAATTAGCAACAGAGGAGAAGTTGTTAAGGGATAATATAATATCATGGTGGGAAAAGTTAATGTTGCAAGATAGATTTAAAAAAGACACGGTTAGAGGTTTTGAAGGAAGTAATAACGAATTAGACAAAATTTGGCTGTCCACAAGTGATAAATTAATACAAAAACTGTATAGCTTTCTGCTGGATGATTTTGAAAAAGGTGAGGAAGTAAAAGGTGTAATGAAGAAATGGATGAAAGATGTGGGGAAACAGATAGAATTAGATAGATGGTCAACAACATGGGACTCGTTTAAGAATATGAGAGCCATAGCCTATAAGGAGAAC